GATAGGATTGTAGTTCTTATTTGTCGAAGGTAATGGTCCTATAAAATCAATATGAAAAGTGCTCAAAGGAATACTATCTTTTGGTATGGGATTCAGCAATCCTTCGCTCTTACCTCGTTTTCTGTCGCACAAAATACATTCTACACAATTTGAAATAACTTGCTCAATTCGTTTTCTAAGGTTAGGAATATAAAAGTCGTTTTTTAGCAGATCTTCTGTTTTAGACACTGCGAAATGTCCCTTTTTAGTGGATACTACGTATGATTTCTAGCTCTAATGCTTCGGGTACCACAAGTAACTCACGACCACTGTCGAACTTGTATAATACTCCATTTTTCACTAGAAAATCTTTCTTTAGTCCTTGCTTCGACTAAGGATTTTAGCAACTGGAGACGCTCATCACTTTTTTGCGCAGCTGCAATTTTGGCTGTAATTTCTCCCTGAGAACAAGTAACCATCATAATGACCGCGTTTCCTACTTAATGAATCCACATGCTTCATTTGTTGCCCAGATCTGTGAACAATTTCATAGTCAAATTCTTCTAGAAGTAACGCCCATCTCGCCACTTTAGGGCTTAGATCTTTCTTAAACATGGTCTTCTGGAAAGCATCGCAATCCGTAACTATCCTGACCTTAGATCCTAAAAGGTAATTCCTGACTTTCTTTAGAGCTTCTACTATAGCTAAAACTTCAAGCACATAACTAGATAGCTTCTCTTGTTGGAGACTAGTTTTTTTACTCGTGAAGTAAATGGGGTGTAACTGTCCATCATCTGACTTTTGTAGCAATACAGCGCCGAAACCATGACTGCTTGCATCTGTATGCAATTCTAATGGTGCTCCTTGTTTAAAAATATGAAGAACCGGACTTGTGGATAAAAGTTCTTTCAATTTATTAAATGCATCTTTTTGCTCAGGCCCAAAATTGAATTCTGCTCCGTTACGAAGAAGATCACTTAATGGTTTCGCTATTTTTGAAAAATTGGCAATAAATTTCCTAAAATACCCAGTAAGACCCAAGAAAATTTGAATCTGCTTAAGATTTTTGGGTTCCGGGAAATTTTGAACAGCCCTAGTTTTTTCAGTAGAGGGGCGAATTGTACCATCCTCAATAACATACCCAAGAAATTCTATTTTTCTTTTCAAAAATTGTCATTTCTTAAAATTAATCTCCAAACCATATTCTTTGGCTACTTCTAAAACGCATTTCAACTTTTCTAAGCCTTCTTTCTCATTTTGTGCTGGAATAATAAAATCGTCCATGTAGGTAACAACAGTGTCATCTCGAATTAAATCTCTAAACACATTCATTATAAATAAATCTTTGGAATACACTAGGGGACGTGCACAAACCAAAAGGTGCTTTTAGAAATTCGTACAAGCCTGCATGAGTAATAAATGCCAAATATTTAGTGCAGTTTTCCTCAACTGGAACATGAAAAAAAACCATTTTTTAAGTCTAATGTCGAAAAAAACCTTTGCTTCACCCAAACGATCTAAAACTTCTTCTACTTGTGCCATAGGAAAAGAATCCTTAACTATTTTTTTATTTAACTGCCTGAAGTCAACACAAATCCGTGTCTTCCCCGATTTTTTTCTACACAAAACAATTGGCGAAGCATATTCTGAACACGATGGCTTTATAATCCCATTCTTTAACCATTCATCTATTTGATTATCAACAATTTTTTGATCAGCAAAAGGAATTCTCCTCGAACGCTGAGAAACTGGAATATCATCTTTTAATATTACTTTCATTTTTAAGTCTGTACTGCGCGGCTTTTCTAACAGTTTATACTCATTAATAAGAGTGGAAACAGTATTGCGTAATCCTTCATCTTTAATATGCCATAAATCTGTTTCGCTGCCTGCCTCAATGGCTGCAGAAATAAAAGACAAAAAATTCCTTTCCGAAGAGACGGAATCATTTTCATATTGCGTAATCATCACCTGGTCACAACAGATCATTTTTAAACAGGAAGGGGGGAAAATACAGTCTGTTATCAATTCATCAACCATCGCTGCTTCTATCTCTTTTTGTTTTTTGCTTTCACATAAAGAAAAAATTAACTTAGCCGTTTCCGCTTTAACCATGTGACCAAACGAACTTTTGAGTTCTATACATCCAGTTGATAATTTATTCGGAAAAAGGGATTTCTTTACAACTATCAATTCACTTCCAGAATCTATTAAACATTTTACTTTCTTACCATCAATCAACAGTTCAATAAATTCTAACTTATTTCTAGCTGCATTATTCGATTCAATCTCTAACCCAGATACCTTTTTTGGAGACAAATTCTCCTCCTTTTCTAACTGTTTGGGACAATTTCTCGCAAAATAAAATAATTCCCCTTTACTCCCACATACATAACAAATACGTTCTGGTTTACTAGTACCCTGATTTACAAACTTCCCTGAATCCTTGAAATTGCTCTGAGCTTTTCTAAGATTGTTTTGGAAAAATTAAGCTTTTTTATTTTCTGGAGTTTTCGATTCGTGTGTTACTGGTATCAACTAAAGATTTACCCCTGGATGAATAAAATAAATCACATTCTCTTCCCAATTGATTAGGTGGGAACCAACTTTGGACCCTCCCGAACACTAATATGTTCCTTTGTTTTAGAATCCAGAGTTTCATACAACTTATCAGATACAATGAGATCACACAATTTCTTAAAGTCATCTACCTCTCTTAACTTACAATAATAATTGAAAGTTGCACTAAGTCGAGACGCAAACTGAACATGTGATTCAGATGAATGTCTCTGTGCATTTTTAAAATTGTTCAAACATTCACACAGTGTTGGCTGAAATTCTTTCAAGATTAGAGTTTTTAATTTATCATAATCCGCGATTTCTTGTTCAGAAACATACGTTAGAACATTATTACATTTATCACCTAAATATATTAATCAACACTTCTGATTTTAACTCCACTGGTACACTTTTAGTAATAAAAGCTTTCTCAAGTGACTGAAAAAACAAATGCATAGCTTCCGGTTTCTGAGGTACAGCTATAGTTAGTGTTTTGATGCTTTTAATAATATCTTCAACACTAGTCTGCGCGTTTCTTCTATCACTCGATAATGATTGTGATTTTAAACTTTCTAACTCAATCTGCTTCTCAATTTGAGCTAATTTAAGACGTTCGATCTCTAACAGATAGTGTTCATTACTTGTTTTAGGCGACCGATCGTCTGCGATCGACTTGACGACGCCACGAACAAATTAAACGTTCGTTTTGAAAACATCAGAATTTTCGATAATTTTTCTAATGTCAGCTTTTTTAGCATTTTCTGGAACAGTCTGTCCAATTTGTTCCGCAATTACTATTAAATCACTTTTCTTTAAATTATTTAGGAAACTCATTTTAAAAACGAAACAAAAGTATCACTATCCTCAAGAAAGAAATAAAGCAAAGTTTTCACAGTACCTTCTCTGAAGTATCCAAGTATGAGGTATCCAAATATCCCGGCCGAGCCCCCAGATTTTCTGTAGTGGGGGAGTTGAAGATGCTAAATAACAATTCCAACGTTGTTTTCCACACCACAGAACGTTTAATAAAGATAATCAGAAAAGGTACAAATTAGATTAAATACAAGTGCCGTTTGATACAAACAGGATTCTGTATAGTTTTATACCAGTCTTATCACATAACGGATTAGTGCCTACTCACACTTGCTGATGTATTAAACAGTTCAATATACCACCTTCGCATGGAAAACTACAGTTTCTTATTCTACACCTTCACGTGCAGACAGACATCTCACCACCTTCGCGTGGGATAGCAGAAGAGTCTCTGTCAGACTCCTCTTTCACCTCGCTGCTGGCGCATCGGTGAGGCCCTCTGGTGGTTGTGTCGCACTTACGGATACTACATATATATGATTCAATGTATGGATAATGTTGATAATTTTTATGGATGTCTTTTGAAATGAGACAACAAACTGAAGAACTGTATCTTTTTCTTATCAATCCTTGCACATCACATAGCATATGTGTGTGTGTGATTATGGCAAAGCCTCGAGGGCTATCTGCCTAAGGGGAGAGACGCATTCGTGAAGGATTTTCTAAGGGTAACTGGCTCATATACACGTTACACATGGGGAAAACCACGAAAACGCCCATGCACCCAGCCCGTTCGTGGGATTCGAACCTCGGACTGAACTACCAGTGTTCAGCGACTTTACCACGTAGCCGCTGGTGGGCCATCACATAGCATAAATAAATATCTCTCATAGGTATATTGAAAGTATGTATTTATCAGCAAATTACGATAATCCTAATTCATTCTGTGGATTCTGAAAACAATGAAATAATATTGTTGCTGTAAGATAAGTATCAGAGTTCTATATAACATGTATAACATGAATATAAGTGTATATGAATCGGTGAGGAAAACTAGTCTTTGTTGGTGTGTAGTGTTTACTTTGCATAACATAGAACTGCATTTCAGAAAAGACAATAAAGAATTGTTTTAAATATGCCAACCATTTAACAAATGATGAAGGAATGGAATTAGAAGAATAAAATCAACATCCCCAACTAATACAAATTGCAAGACATTCAACACTGTGAGTGGATATTGATAAAAAATTTCAGTTGTAACATTGAAGACAAAAGAAGATATGTGTGATATGTATACTTTGTGAAATGAATCCAAGTACATGATATGATAATTTTTCTGAAAATGAACAATGACTATGAAATTAGTGCTACTCCCTACAAATGTTGAAATACAGGATAACTTCTGAATATTAAGATTCAGGGTATAGCATTGGTCAAAGTACTTCTAGAAACTTTATGAACTGTTCATAAACAAAATTTGCATTTTCCTAATTGAAATGTTGTAAAAGTAACTGTTGATATACATCTAGTTCTATTTATATTAAATCAGTTAAATTTCATTGCTATTTTGAAGGATATTTTTTCTCATCATTTAATGTTATTTGCTTATTAATTAAATCTTGAGATCTAATGCTGTTATTTTCTCTTAGGAGAACTAGAAAAATTTCTCACTGAACAACAGAAACAAGCATCTATTGTGGAACATATTCTTTGCACAAAACCATTTTCTCAATTAGATCCAGTTCCTGTTCTAGGTCTTGATGTAACTGTTAGTGATGCTGCGGTTACTATGATTTGTCTCTTAGCATCATGGGAGTTTGTTTGCCTTCCATTAGTGTAAGTACATTCCTTTTGGATCATGTAAATAAACCTTTAAGTGATTGCTGATAATGCACTTCACCACTTGTTCAAGGACGCATAAATGCACATACCAGACTGTCAAGGGGAAAGTTATCTGATCCTTCACCATCTAGGACAAATTTTTACTGTTATTTGAGAATTTTAAATTGGCGGATTTCTCTTTTCTTTAATCACAACATTATATATGAAGCAATATGATAATAAGGAGTTATAATCATATTGTTTCATATTATTTTATGCCATATTTGATTAATATTATATTTACAAAATTGTAATTAATTCTATATAAATATTGGAAAATTATACATTTTTCAATTACATATGCATTCTTTTTTAAGTAATACTGCTTAAATAATTTAAGCCTCAAAAATATTTTAGACGAAATTAAAATATTATATGTTTACACAAAATACATATTAGCCTTTTTAATTATTATAATAACAATTTAACATTTGTTTTGCATATGAAAAATTTGAAAGCAAGGAATGGCACATAATGTAGCATTGCATTTCTGGGCAGTGTACTGTCAAGGGAATAAATTCTACTTTGCAATACACTTTTCAAAACTGAAATTGTTATTTCTGTGTTGCCATGATATTGAAACTAGTAAAAATTTTTGGGATGATTGTTGATACTAATGTCCAGCTTAGGTAGAAGATCTACTATCTTTATATGAAAAATCAACTGGAAAATACATCTTCAAATAAGTAGTTCAGATACTGACTATCGAGTCAGACTAAATAATTGTGTCGTCATTGAAATCAGTAAAACAATAAAAATAAATAAATAAAAAACATTCTTGGCCACCATTAAAACCAAGCCAAATTTCTAAAATATAAGTACAATTCATGCTAAAGTGTTTATTCCAGGAATCTGTAAAATACTGCCTCTGTCAAACTCAGAAAAAATACTTAAGGATTTAAATATGTAAAGTCAGTTCAATTATCCACTATAAAAGCTTGGAATATTTAAGAAAGCTCATTTAGTTTGTCACATCCCATAGAAGGGAATTCAATGAATGCAAGCTGGTGCCAGTGAAGCACAAAATTGTGTTTTGAGCCTGATTTGTTTGTGACATAAAGAGACTATGATTAATGAAAGTCATAACAAGTTGAGCTCAGGTTGGTCACTTAAAGGTGTAATTGGGGTGTAAATATTCAAAATAAACTGATATACTGTAGCTGAAATAAGCTTTCAATAAATTTAAAGTTTTCATATATACAGCAGGCAGATAGTCTTCAATAGCTACAATTTTACTGAACTCATAATATAGTATATAAATCTGTTTATTTGTATTTTTATGCATTGTGTAATGTTTATTGAGCAATAATGTTATCATTGACTGGTTTTCAGTTATGATTTTAAGTACAGAATGTAACTATAAAGCTTGTAGAATTAATTTATGAAACAAAAATAACCAAATAAATATAATAAATGTACAAACTTTATGCATAGCCTACTCCTCCTAGTCAAAATACTTTACAATGTAATATCAGCATTTAACACTGTGTCCTTCATCAATTTGAATGCTTTGTTGATGTAATCTTTTGGACCTTTATGCAGCATCTGCAATTCTTCCAGTATCTCATTTACATTAAGCTCTACCAATGGCTGAGTGGTTAAGATTGCTGAATACTGGTAATTCAAACCTAAGTGAATGGGCTGGCTGCATGGTTGATTTTCATGGTTTTCCCTGTGTGTAACTTGAATACAAGCCAGTTTCCCATTGAAAGTCTTCCACAAGAGCATCCCTTCCCTTTGGCAGATGACTTTTGTGTTCTTTGCCATATTCAAATAACCAAACCTCATTTACATTATCAGCTTATCATCTTCAGTTTCAGGTACAGGATTAAATTATGAGGAATTAGATATGATGGTTTGAAGAAAATAACTTTATGTAATTTAGTAACAAATGTCAAAATTCAATCTTAATACTAGTACAAATAAGCAAGAAATTATTAGTGCCTGCAGTTTCATTGGAGCTGAGTCCAAAAGTGTTGCTATTACAGTGAATGCAGTAAGTTCTTGTGTTTCATGCAGAAATTGGAGCAGTTGGTTAAAACAAGAGAGGTAAAGCTCAGAACAGGTTTTTACTGACTTTGAAAGTAATAAATAGAAGTTTTATGTCATTAACGAAATTGCTGTGGAGGATAATTTTGGAAATTTCTCATGCCCAAAATTTTGGAATGGTGAATTCATATCAGCAGCAGTTTTGATTGCTGAAGTTTTGATTTGATTCCAACAGTGGAATACTATTAAAAAACCCCTTTTACTTCCTTCTTCTATCAGATATGATCTCTTATCCTGAATTTTAAAGACCTGTGAATTTGTCGGAAAGCCATGGCTGAACTGAGCCATTCTCTTGTTATCTTTGACAATGAGATAACTTTGTTTCCTTGATTATGAAATCCAATAATAATAAATAAAAAAGAAGCATGTGAGTGTTTTTCATAAACATTTAATATCTGCTTGCTGTTTTCGCTCACTTTGCTCATTCATATAAATAGAAATTTTTAGCCTTTACTTATTTATTTTCATTGCCAAAAAATTTGTTAATAATTACATAAGATGAACTTATATCATTGTAATTTTTGAAACACTGAGACACAAAAAATTAAGTGATTGCACAGGATAAATTTATATCAAGATATATAACATATATATCAGTCACTATTGCATCGGAAGATACTGTATGAAGTTCATTCATGGTGTATTTTAAAGTCCGTTCTAAAAAATGGGGAATAAGAAGCATTTATATATATATTATTTATTTATTTATTTATTTATTTTCTCTCTTACTAAGGTACTTATAGTTTGAAAAGATAGATAAGCAAGTCTAAGATTGTAGCCTAAAAGAATAGGTCTTCAATGCTGAAGGTAGTTCATATTGAAGTGTAGAAAGGTTTAGATCAGTGATTTGCAACCTTTTTGAAGCTGCCGCTAATCTTAGGAGCAAAAAAATTTTCAAAACCCCCTATGTAAAAATCCTGTAGTTTAGGGTATGGGGAAGAAGATATCCTGAGTTATAAAAGGGAAATATTTTAAGTAATTTTTTCAGTAGGCTTACACACCTAATTTGTTTAACTCGATAGTTTTGTCCCGGAAGGTAAACGAAAATGACTAATGTAATAAATAAATAAAATTCTTAAATGCTCTAAAAAAATCTTTATTCTTAATTAAATAATTAAAAAAAAGAACAGCAAAAAATACACTAAGCAAGTAATATCTATGAAAAAATCAAGTGTGATCAGTGGGATGCTTATGCTTGATGTTTCAGAGCCAGTTTCAGAACATTCAATTCAATATTTTTAGAGAGATGAAGGCACAAGTCTACTCTTTCCATGATTTTGAGTTGACTTCTCTTTTTTGCAGTTATATCAGTCATAGCACTGAATCCTTGCTCGACAAAATATGAGGAAGGGAAGGCAAAACATTTTTTTATGGTAGTCCACAATCCTGGTAGAGGCGACTGATGCTACTTTGAAGCCAAAATTCTGCGAGACGATCGCCATTCTGGAAGCTGACTTTCAAAGTTTCATTAGTGGAAAGTACGACTAGTTCCTCCTGAATCTGAACCTCTGCTTTCTCAGTATTCATAAAACGTTTTGTGATCCATTGAGGGACTTTCAGGGACAAAATATCTTCAAAACGTTCAGAAAAGTCTGTGCAAGGATTTAAGGTCTTGGCAGTAAACTTGTGTTTCATCAAATGGGATTTCTCTGCTCTTATGTAGATCCGACAAGATCCAAAACTGACAAAATTCATTGCGACCAAAATTCTGCTTCCACAAAGTGAGTTTTTTTAGGAAGGCAGAACTAACAGGTTTTGTTGTGATCAAATTGAGCTCTTCGCTTTGAAGCTGCAAATTAATTCCTTTGAATTTTGTGAATAAATCGGTCATGTAAGCAACATCAATCTTAAATTGTAGCAATCTGTCTTTCAGAGCAACTGCTTTCTCTTTGAGGAAATCAAGCACGGAATCGAAAAGATTCCAGAACCTACTGAGACAGGCACTTTAGGAGAGCCAGCGAACCTCGGTGTGTAAAAGCAAGTGAGTGAATTCTTCATCATTGTCCTTACTCCTTACATACCTGCCCGAATAATCAATTGTTGAGAGCATTACTGCGAATTTTGTTCACAGTAGAGATGACATATTGTAACGACTGATGCAAACAATGGCTGAGTTTTTCTGCAACTAAATGCTGCCTATGAATCATGCAGTGAACAGCTAAAATACTTGGTACCTCTTCCCATTATTACTTGGCAATGTTGCTTCATCAACCTGAAAAGAAAATTCAGCGCATTTCAAAAGTTTGCATAAGGAAGCTTCAACATCTTCAGCCATCTCATCAATTCGTCATCACACTGTATTATTGCTTAATGGGACATTTTTTTATAATATTGGTTGCTGCTGGATGGTGTAAAACCATTTCTAAAACTTCCGTGACAGCCAGCAGTATCAGCTCTTTGCCAATGGTATGAGCTTTCCCCGATTTAGCAATTAATTTTGATATATTATAAGAGGCTATTGAACCATTGTTGCATTGCTTTCATGATGCTACCAATAAGCCTGAGGCAGATGGTGCTTTTAGAAACTTGTCCCTGATTTTCGTGAAAAACAATGAATCTTTATTTTGTTTGTCAGGAGGAATTTTTTTGCAGATGCTCCTGCAAATGAGATGGTTTCATTGTCTCATTAGATAAAATTGTTACAAAGTAAACACATGGGCAGTTGCAAGTCGATGGCAAAGGAATGAATCCAAACTTCAAGTACGTGGAACTGTATTAACGACATTCCTTTCTATTAAATAACATCGTTGGTGGCAGCAAAATATGATGAGGGATAAATATTTCTCAAAATTAATATCTCACAATCATGATAAAGAACTAACAAGTGCAATTGTCTAGGCAACTGGCCAAATAAACAACAAAAGTAAATCGAAACTGAAGAGAAAAACAAAAATGAAGCAAACGAA